ACAATGGTGAGAAGGACATTGTGCCACATTGACCTGGCAGCTACCTCTGTCACCTGGGGGTGGCCGATCTTTCTCGGGCCCTATCATGGACAGCTGAGGCTGCAATGTTTGACGGCTGCTTTTGTGCCACAAGGGCAATGTGCAAGGTACTGACCAACCAAACATGTCATGAACATGTTTTAGATGAGCATGTCAGGGCTCATCTAAAAATTCCTCTCCCTCCCGCCTTAGCGCAAGAATAAGACATTACAGGAGAGCAATACACCAGCCTCCACCCACAGGCAGCAAGACTCCTGGCAGCCAAAATAGGCAGCAGGAAAGTGACCAAGGGACAAATCCCAACAACCTGGGAGACGCCCTGTGGTCACCCCCGCCATGGCCTCTCACTTACACTGCCCACAGCATTCACTCATTATTTCACTTATTCCATAGTTCCTGAGCACCTCCTATGTGTCAGACACTGTTCCAGGTCCTGGGGATGTGACAATAAGTTAAAATACACAAAATGCCTGCTCTCGGAAAGTTTGCACTCTAGTGCGTGTGTAGGGAACAGAAAATCGACCAAATAATTAAATCGTATATTAGATAAAGATAGTGGTATAAGAATAACCTTGGGAAGGGGGGGGTTCTAGAGTTGGGGAGGAGTGTGCAGTGTCTACATATAGATATTTGGATATATAGATATTTAAATATAGATTTAAATATAAACTTTTAAATTTGATTGTCAATTGATAGATTATAATTGCATATATTTATGAAGTACAAAGTGATATTATGATAGACATATATAACGTGGAGTGATGAAATAAGGCTAATTAACATATCCATTGAATACTTATCCTTTTCCTGGTGAAAACATTTGAAATATTTATTCTCTTAGCAGTTGTGAAGTATATAATACACCACTATTAACTATAGTCACCCTGCTGTGCAATGAATCTCAGAAACCGTATTCCTCCCATCTAATGGAAACTTCATACCCTTTGACCAGCATCTCCTTATTTCCCCCAATCCCCAAGTCTGTATGTGTTTTGTTTTTTGTTTGTTTGTTTGTTTTTGAGACACAGTCTCGCTCTATCCCCCAGGCTGGAGTGCAGTGGCAGGATCTCGGCTCACCGCAACCTCCACCTCCCAGGTTCAAGCCATTCTCCTGCCTCAGCCTCCTGAGTAGCTGGGACTACAGGCGCACACCACCACGCCCAGCTAATCTTTTGTATTTTAGTAGAGATTGGGTTTCACCATGTTGGCCAGAATAGTCTCCATCTCCTGACCTCGTGATCGTCCCGCCTCGGCCTCCCAAAGTGCTGGGATTACAGGTGTGAGCCATCGCGCCCAGCTGGTTTTTAAAAGGATGATCAGGGAGATCTCCTGAGGAGGTGCCATTTGAGTGGGAACCTGAAAAAGGCCCGACAGCAAGCCATGCGGTATCTGCAGGAAGAATGCTCTAAGCAAAGAGAATAGCCAAGTCCTGAGTTGCGAGGGTGCCCAGTGTTTTTAAGGGACAGTATGGTTGGGGCGCAATGAGTGGGGTACACTAGGAAGATGTTGGGAGACAATTCTCCATAGGTTTCTGTTTGTGCGTGCCTGGTGAGCATTCTTCTGCATCATCTTTTCAAATACGTTTGTATAGCAAATGGCCTTGGAAGATACTGTCTGTTCTAGGACAGAAGGCAGATTAATTTGCTGTCAATAGAATAGAGATAATGGCTCCTTTCAGGGTAAAAGTTGGGCAGGTTTGTTTGCAGCTCATCATGAAAATTTGGGGTTTCCTAGGCTCAGGGTTCCTGAGCTGTGATGCACAGAGTCCACTTGGGTTCGGCTCCTTGCGGCGGCCCTGGGTTGGGGGCAAGCAGGACCTACTGTCACGACGCTCATGCTGCTAGTTGTGCTGTGAGTAATAGAGTTCTTTGTCTTTAACTCTGGAGTCTCATGTCTTCTGCTGGTGACCATGAAACGGTGGTGGGCTAACTTGTTAGTTCTAAGTTAACTTATAACTAACAGATCCTTCTAGCTTGTAACCCAGGCCCTTCACTGTTTGTTTGTTTGTTTTTGTGACAGAGTCTCAGTCTGTCACCAGGCTGAGTGCAGTGGCACAATCTTGGCTCGCTGCAACCTCCACCTCTCGGGTTCAGGTGATTCTCCTGCCTCAGCCTCCCGAGTAGCGGGGACTACAGGCACCTGCCACCACGCCTAGCTAATTTTTTGTATTTTTAGTAGAGACGGGGTTTCACCATGTTGGCCACCATGTTGGCCAATCTCCTGACCTCATGATCCACCCGCCTCAGCCCCTCAAAGTGCTGGGATTACAGGCGTGAGCCACCGCGCCCCTCCCCTTCACAGTTCTTGGCAGAGGGATGAGATCGGAGACAAAGAATGAATGAACGAACAAAGGGAGGAGTGAATTGGGATTCAGAGAGCATTCTTCCTTAAACACAGAATATCGATATTGAACGCGTCGCAAGCCAGGTGCACACACACGGCTCTTCACTCCCTTGGGGTACAACAAGCCCAAGGACCGACCACAGAACCATAGAAGCGTTCTATGGACACGTCAGAAAGAAGCGAATGGAGCCACCTGTTCATAGCTGCTGCTCCCTGTCATTGGTGTGAGATAAAGTGGGGGTGACCTCCTGGATAGAAGAGAATACTGAAGTAAAAGGGCTTGGAGGAGGATCCGAGGAAGCCTGGCTCAAGTTCAGTGTTTCTGTCATGAAGATTCCAGATCTGACAGTCCCTTGTCCCCCCATCCCCCCAGCCCCTCATTGCTGGCTCCTGGGACAAGCTATTCAGACAGAAGAACCCACCACCTAGGCCTCCCTATACCTGCAGGAATAAAGCCCGGGCAGACAAGACGCGGAGCTTCCCAGGGCCACACTCTGCCTCCTGTCCTCCAGCCGCTCCTGTGGCACAGAGACAGGGGACCTGCAGAGCCTGGGTGACCTGCCTCTGTTGCCTCCCCTCTTCTCCCACCACAGCTGCCTCATGCCCTCAGGGTTTCAGGGGCAGCTCAGGCTTACCAGACACCATAGCTGTGTTTTTGTTTTTTGTTTTGGATCAGAGCGTGTGGTGAGTGAGCTGGCAGTGAGGGAGTAAGGGAGTGAGAAGACAGAGCTCTGGGTCCTGAGGGGGCCCCTCAACCTTTAGCCCTTGCCCCCATGAGGTCTACTTTTCAGATTCCCAAGTGACCGGGAGGTGAGGGTCCTGCTGCCCGGGCTGGCCCCTGTGGACAGGGACAGGCCTGTTTCCTCAGCTGTGTCTGCTTCTGACCGGAAGGAAACACCTGGATATGAAAGAGCCGGTGGGGTGGGGTGGGGGAGCATTGTTCCCAGGGGCAGGGAAGCTTGATGGGATCTGATGGGGCCCCAATGCAACAGGGAGCAGAGGGCGACGACTGCAGCTTGGCATCTGCAGCCACCATGTCAGCTGAAGCACTTTCGTGGAGACAGTAGAGGGCCCGCAGCAGGTTCTAATGGGAGGCAGCGGGGCATGGTGGCCAGGCAGGTGGCATTCCAATCCTGTCAATAGGGCAACTTGGGCTGCTTGCTTAAAACCTCTGTGCCTCAGTTTCCCTATCTTAAAGGGGACTTGACAACAATGCCTACCTCACAGGCTTGTCATGAGACTAAATGAGATGATATTTGAAAACCACTTAGAGCTAAATAAATAAATGGACCGTGCCGGGCACGGTGGCTCGTGCCTGTAATACCAGCACTTTGGGAGGCCGAGGTGGGCGGATCACAAAGTCAGGAGATCAAGACCATCCTGGCTAACACGGTGAAAATACAAAAAATTACTACTGAAAATACAAAAAAATTAGCCAGGTGTGGTGGTGTGCGCCTGTAGTCCCAGCTACTCGGGAGGCTGAGGTAGGAGAATGGCTTGAACTCAGGAGATGGAGGTTGCAGTGAGCTGAGATCACGCCACTGTACTCCAGCCTGGGCGACAGAGTGAGACTCTGTCTCGACAACAACAACAACAACAACAACAACAAAAAGGACCGGCCCGCGAGTGCTCTGTACACCCCCCAGTAGCAGACACACACCCTTTCTAGCTGTGCTCCCCCCAACACCTGACTTTCCCACCTGCTTTCCTGCCTCTGGGGGTTTGCACACTTTGCTCCCCATTGCTGGGGTGCCTCTTGCCACCTCTTTGCACACCAGATCCTCCCTTGAGCCTCAGCCAGGAGCCACCTTCCATGGGAACCTCCCTGAGCCCATACCCTGCAGTCTCTCTCTTTCATCCTGCACCCACCACACACTGCCTGGCCCGCTGAGGACCCTGGCAGGTATTACTTTCTGGGTTGGTCACTCGCAGCTATGTTCAGACCCTCTTTGCAGGCAGTCAGCTCCTCAAGGACAGAGACCAGGCCTCGGTCAGATGCTTGGCACATATAGAAGATACCCGATTCGTGTGTAGGGAGAGAATCGGCCAGACCAGCATGACTTTCACCAAATTCCCCAGGAAAGTGATGGACGGATGATGTCCCAGAAAGGGCACGGACTGAGACCCAGATGTTTCACATTGAGTCTTGCTCCTTGCTACTCCACTCTGCAATCTTTGGCAGATTGCTTCATTTCCCTAAGCCTCAGTCTTCTGTCCTATAAAATGGCACTAAAACACTTATCCAGTCAACCTGTAACTGCTGGTGAGAATCAAATGGGAAAATGGGTGTACTCTGCAGCACAGGCATGAATCATTAGTCCTATTATTAACGGCATGTACAGGATTCCAGAAGAAAGGAGAATCCTTCTTACAGGGTCCTGTGTCCTTTCTTCTTGTGAAAATGGGATGAAACAGTCTTGACTTGGCAGAGTTACCCTGCAGTGTCTGAGGTCACCCTTCTCAGAAAGGTGGCCATGGCAGCCCCGAGCCTGGGTAAATAAGAGCCAGGGGTGTTTCAGCCCCCTCAGGGCTCCCCGTCCAGCTCCCTCCTTTCCGCCCCTCTGTCTGTTCTGCTCAGATCTGCCTGCCTGGCAAGCTCCATCCAAGCCAGCACTTACCTTGGCTCAGTGGTAGCTTCTGGGCTCCCCAAGTCCTTCAACCAACTCCCTACAGTCCTGTACAAGGCCCCCAGTCCCAGAGAAGCAGATGTCTTGGGAGGGCCTCCACGGGTGTCTGTGGTCTTGACTGTGCTCTTCAGATCTGCAGAGGAAAGCTCGATGTCTCACAGCTCTGTCCCCTCCTCTTCCTTCCCCTTCCTTGTGGCCCTCGAAGCTCCTCCCAGAACGCGTTCTGCTGTGAGACTGCTTTCTAAAGAAGCATCTGTGGTCACCCACGGTCACTGGAGGTCCTTTATTCTGATCGAATGCGACCAATTTTATGGGACGGGAGGGACACCTCCCAAGAGACTCCCTCTGGTGTTGACGGGGGAGGGATTGATGCAGGGAGCCCTGACCTCTCTCTCAAGCTCCAGACTCACCAACCATCCCCCATTCCTGGACATGGTCAGTCAGATGTCCCTCAAGCACCTCCATCTCAACAGGTACAAACCGAGCTCATCATTTCCCCCTCTAAGCCCACTTCTCTGTTTCCCGCCTCAGAATCAGCAACCTCGGTGTCATCAATGCCTCCCTCTCCCTCACCTGTTACGTCTAAACTGCACCAAGCCCTGTCAATAGCTCATGAATCCTCCACTTTCTTCCATCCCTATGGCTGTCACTGTTTCACCTGACTACCATGATCTTTCTCCTGAAACACCACAATAGCCTGAGATCCTTCACCCCACAACCAAAGGTCTCTAAGAGTGAAACACAAATTTCTTCATGTTACGGTCCTGCTACAACCTTCAATGGCCCCTTATAACTTTAAAGAGAATGACCAAACTCCTCAGTGTGACTTGCCAGACCCTTCTTGATCTGGTCCCTCCCTAAACTCCAACCTCATGCTTTATCCCTCACTCCAGCCCCTCCCAGAAGTACTGCAGTCTCTTAACGATCCAGGCTGTGGGAATCGCTTCCCAGCCCTTCTCCTGGCTCGCCCCTTGTCATTTGTTATTTATCAGAGAAGAACAAAAACCAAGCCTAAGAGGCAGGAAGAAAGTGGAGTGCCAGGGACGCTGGCAGAAGACAGAATGCCAAGGAGGGGATGATGGTCAACAATGTCAATGATTGCAGAGAGGACACAGGTGAAGAGAATGAAAAAGCATCTGCTGTCCTTGGCAATTAGGAGACAGCAGTGCCGGGCAGGGACAGTAGAGCTTCTGGGGGAAGTCGATCAACTGCATGGTGACACGTTTGCTATTTTGTCATTTTCTTTCTTTTTTTCACATTTTGAAGCCAAACACTATTTGGGAGAGTCTCTGACACATTTCTAGAGCTTCGAAAAACTCGCAGATTCTGTGCTGTCAACCCATTGGGCCTAATGGGTAAATGGCTCTAGAAAGTGACAGATTGCTGACAGCATGGTTTGAGTGCTGGATCCAGCTATGCCTGAAATTCTGGTGCTAAATCTACTCTTGGACTGTTCATTGTATATGATCCAATAAATTCCATTCTTTTTTGGATTAAGCCTGTTGGAGTTTGTCACTTAACTCAACCCAAAGAGCTTTGGGGCTGTGAAGTCACTGATCTTTTTCTGTAGGGGCTTGACTAGGTTCTATGCTGACCCCTCATTTTGCAGAGGAAGCTATTTGGAAAAAAAGTCCAGAAATGTAAATCATTTACTCTACAGCTATGCCTTCCTCCCACAGCTGCTTCTTTTCTGTCCCCTTCGTGTGACTGAAGTCACATTCTATCTCGCATCTTCGTATTAATGTTCTCAGCTCACATGTCTGCCTTGTTCCTCCTCCCTCCCTCAGTGAGTTCTGAAGGAGCAGGGGCTAGGGTGTTGTTCATTATTCCATCCATCACAGGGTGAAAGAGTGTTAAGAGAATGCTTGGCTTATTTGTGAAGCAAATGGGTGACTGAATGAAGGAAATGAATATGCCCAGGACAGAATAAAGGACCAAGAACTCAGCCCCTGCAGGTTCCAGACTCAGCAGCACCCGGGCAGTGTGGCCACCCTGGGCAGCCCCTTTCCTTATCAGCCTTGACTTTAACGGAATCGGAAATCACAAGCTGAGGTCACTTCTTGTGGGTGCATTGCTGCCTTATCATCAGCTGCCATTTCTGCAACTGCATTGGCTCTGGTAGCCATGGAGGGGGCAGCTTGGTGACCACAGAGAGCCCCCAGAGCTGTCCCTTGCAAAGAAGAGCTAGGGTGCTTTCATTTTTGAGTGCACACTGCTGATAGCCAGCCAGGAACAAAGGACAGTGGGAGGAGGAGGTGACGATAGGAAGGACGAAGTTCCCCCACAGTCCCCAGTGCACCGTCCCTACCGTCACCAAGGCAAGGCAGCACTACCCCTTTGACCAATTTCAACCATGTCTTTCCTCTCCAGACCATGTTCTTAGGATTTGCTTAATCTGAGTTTTCCAGGCTGTGCTCTTACCAGGTTTCTCATCTGCGCCAATCTCCCAAGAGCAGCCCCCTGTTTCCCTGCCAAAAGGCAAACGATCCATCAGCATCAGAACTGTAAAAATTAGGGTTCCCTGGTTTCATTGTACTAGGTCTCAGATGACCTGGTCAGTAAATGGAGGCAAAGACCCCCCCGGAATGATCAATGCCCAAGATACAGAAGCAGAAGGCTCACCATCTATTGCCACTCCTCCTCCTCCTCCCTCTGCCACCCTCCTCTGCCAAGTGAGGGTCCCCACTCCTGGTAACCCTTCTGGGCATAGCTGCAATGGCCTCTCCTCAGGTTCCTCTATCTCAGCCCGGGTGTTTGGAAGTCTGTTCACATAACTCGCCTTGGGGTTACAAAGTTACTTTCTCTACAGATGAACCACTGCTTCTATTCCATCCTCATCCATTTTCCAGTCCATGACAAAGCCACTGAGAACTTTAAACCAAAATTGAATATTCTTGCCACTGTGGACTGAGCCATGGGTGAGGGGGGCCAGATACTGGCATTGGGGAGGTCTGCAGGACCACAGTATTGGAGTCAGGCAAGAATTACTTGCTTAGAACAGGAGGTCCCCAGGGTCGCTTGTGTCCTCGCCTGCAGTGCCGCCCACCATGGGAGCTGCTCTGGGATTATTCAGCATTGAAGGCAGCAGAATTTGTCATTCCTGTTTTCTAAGGAATCCACTTACATGTAATACTAATAAGCAAAGTCGAATTTACTAAAGATTATGCGGGAGGATGAAGGGAGAGTACATCACACATCTCTTGGCAAACTATTCAAAAATCCTCTGTGGATAGTTCAGAGGATCCCGACGTCCCTCCTCGAAGCCGTGCCATTGGAGCGGGCAGCCTGGAATATGGTGGAGTTTTGTGCTTTTTCCTTTCTCTCTTCTCCCCACATGACCCTGACTCACGAGTGCTGGTTCCTCCATCTCGGATTTTTTCACAGACATACCTGAATTGTCTTTGACATGCATTTAGAGCACTTCAATTCCATTCCAATTCTTAACTCCCCACTTCTCTCTCTCTCTCTTTTTTTTTTTTTTTTTTGAGATGGAGTCTTGCTCTGTCGCCCAGGCTGGAGTGCAGTGGCCCCATCTCGGTTCACTGCAACCTCCGCATTCCGGATTCACACCATTCTCCTGCCTCAGTCTCCCGAGTAGCTGGGACTACAGGCGCCCGCCACCATGCCCGGCTAATTTTTTTGTATTTTTAGTAGAGACGGGGTTTCACCATGTTAGCCAGGATGGTCTCGACTCCTGACCTTGTGATCCGCCCGCCTTGGCCTCCCAAAGTGCTGGGATTATAGGCGTGAGCCACCACGCCCGGCCAGCTCCTCATTTTTCTACCCCAAACTCATCACCACCACCCACACAGATGGCTCTCTGGTTGGCAGGTCCCATTTTTAGAAAACTGTGAAAGGTAATAAACCAGAAAAGAGCTGTTAGGAAAACACATTTTGCTTCGTTTAAACAATCACCTCATGAGTCAGGTACAGTTATACAGATAGGTCAAGTTTAAAAGCTCACATCCCTGGTGGAGGTGAGACTCCAACCAAGGACCCCCCAGTCCTAGGACTTCCCACCTGACCCCAGGAAGATCTGTAGGCTGAGCCAGCCTGAATCCTGAATCACTTGACCTCAGTCCAGGAAGGCCAAGGCAGTGGCACAGGCAGTACCCACCTCCAGGGCACCTCTGCCTCTGGTGCAGTCCCTCCAGCTCTTGCCCACGGCCCAGGGGCAGGCAGGACAGCATTATGCTCTAAGCCAGTGGTTCCCTAAGGGTAATGCCTGGACCAGTAGCATCAGCATTGCCCTGGAAATCTGTAATCAACTAGTACTGTCTGCTGTGGCTGTGGAAAGGGAGGAACAGTGCACACTTCGGGAATCTTCCATCCTTTACTTCCATCAGTGTTATTTGGCAGGGTGCATGCAGAATCAGGGCTAATTGGTGTGATAGAAGAAGCAGATTTATGCTTCATATCCAACCAGTCACCCTCTCAGCCATTCTTCTTTTTGGTGGTGGTGGGGAAGTTTTGATTTTAAATGCCATCAATGTTCTTTTTTCGTTAAGCTGTAAAGTTTAAAAAACTAGTCAAGTAGGCCAGGCATGGTGGCTCATGCCTATAATCCCAGCACTTTGGGAGGCCGAGGCAGGTGGATCACTTGAGGTCAGGAGTTTGAGACCAGCCTGGCCAATGTGGTGAAACCCCATCTCTACTGAAAATACAAAAATTAGCTGGACATGGTGGCCTGCGCCTGTAATCCCACCTACTTGGGAGGCTGAGGAAGGATAATCACTTGAACCTGGGAGGTGGAGGTTTCAGTGAGCCAAGATTGTGCCATTGCACTCCAGCCTGGGCAACAGAGCAAGACTTCGTCTCAAACAAACAAACAACAACAACAACAAAAACTAGTTAGGTAATCCATAAATATATTTCCATTATAAAAACACTCAAGCATTGTAGGAACCTAAGAGTTAAACAGGAGAGTCTCTCTCCTCCCCATTCCCAATTTCTTTACCCTCCTACCCACTGGTAACCATGGTAAATAGCCTGGGATGGTTTATACACATAAGCGCCATAGAAATTGCTCTTCAACTTGCTTTGTTTACTGGAAGATCACGACATATCAGTGCATAAGGATCAACTGCATTCTTTCCTTAAATATAAGTGTACATTTTTGTTTGGACTAATCACACATTTACAGGGTTCAAAATGGGAAGGACACAGAGAAAATCAGTCACTCCCTCTTCCGAAAGCCATCCTTTAGTTGGTGAAGAAAACCTTGTGACCTCCTCCTTCTCTTTTGCAGGTGCAACTGTCCCCTCTCCCAAACTCCTTGGTACTGGCAGCTCTGGGATGGTGTGAGAGGGCAGACATCTTGGGGTTGCCGTGAAGGGTGGGGCCTGGTCTCTTGTCATTTCCCCTGTTCTCATGGCTGCCTTGAGAGGGAGACCAAGTGGACCCCTGCTTCCTCTCCCTCAGCCCCTAATACCACAGGTTCCTCCTTGGACACGCTTTTGCTGGCGGAGCTGAGCTGGGGAGGTGTTAGGAGTCTCTTGATCTGCATGATATGTATATCACCCTCTCCATTTTCTTCTCCCAAATGAACTCACACCAGGAAGTGGAACAAATCAAGATGGCTGGGGTCAACCAGGAGATCAGTGCAAAAACGCAAAGACTCCAGCTTCTCATTATTTATGCAAATTGCCTGCCCTCCACACATATGTGCAGGACCACACACGCACTCACACACACACACACATACAGAGACACAACCCCAAAAGTAAGCCAAGCCACCTGGCTGGGCCCTCATCCTGGCACGTGCTTCTCGCTCTGTGTGACCCTGTGCAGGCCTCTCCCAGTCTCTGGGCCTCAGTTTCCTCCTCTGTAACCTGATGGCTGCAGATTGGGTGTGCAAAGCCCTCCTCAGCTTTCTCAGCCCCAAAACGATTCTGTTCTGGCCTCAGAGACTTTCGGCTACAGTTTCGCTCAGGGAAGGCCTCTGGTCCCTGGTTGCAAGGGCCCCTTCCTTGGGTGTGTGTGGGTGGGGGCTGCTCCGCTCCCTTCCTCCTCCTCCCCAGAGGTCTCGGGGGACCCCCTTCAGTCCACTCTGGAGCCAGGAGCGACATTCACCATTCACTGAGGGCTTCCTTCCTGACTGCCCTCCCCTCAGCAGTGGTCAGTGCAGACCAGCTTGGAGTCCCGCCAACCCAGTCCGGCCCCAGCTTCCGCTCCTCCTCTATGCCCCCGCCAACTTTTCCACCCCTGCCACTCCCACCATTCCTGAGCGTGTGTGAACACAGCTTCTATTTTGAAACCATCAGAGCGTCTCCAGCGATCCATTAGAAATGAAGCCATCCTTCTCAGACATCTGTGTGATCCTTTTCACGGCCTCAGCTTAGCCACTACCCACATGAGAGGTTCCACAGAGCAGCAGAGATTAGTGGTTAAGCGCAGGGACTCCGGAGCCCACCTGTCTGTGCTTAAATCCTGGATTCCCCTTTTTACTGTCTTGGTGACCTTGGACAAGTTACCTGTCTCTGCCTCAGTTTCCCTGCCTGTAAAAGGGGGCATAATTGTGCCTAGCTCATGGGGTTGCGGCACAAACAAGTTAACATAAGCACGTAAAGCACACAGAGCAGCGCCTGACACGTGCTCAGTAAGTGCTGAAAGTGATTGCTGATAGCTCAGTTCACTCGACGCGGACATTCACAGGTGATGCCCTGTGCAGGTGGCACTGACTGAGACGCTGCACCTTTGAGCTCGAAATAGCTGAGATCCTTCGAACAAGCGCCATTCCTTCCCACTCCCCCTGTGCAAAGAGGGGCAGACACATGCGTCTGCTGTGACCACAGCCATGTCTCCAGGGAGCCCACACTCAGAGTCTCCGGGGCTGTGGTCCCAGCCAGGACATAGGCGTGCCTGCACACAGAACAGAGAGAAATAAGCTGGCACGCCTGGGGACAGAGTCTGCCACCTGCCTCACTTTGCCTCCAGAGGGATGGGGGATGGCACCCTCTCCCAGCAGGCATTTCCTTTACCCTGATTTTACTGGTAGGGTTGGGGGAAGAAAGAGAAGGATTCAGAGACTTGAGGAAAGAAGGAAGTGGATTCTTCCTCAAGAAAACGGGGGAGCCCTTTTCCCAGGGAAGCTGTGAACATTCCCGGTGCTGGAGTGGGTGGCAGTGTGGCAATGAGGGAGGGGCAGTCTGAAGGCCCAGGGCAGGCACCAGGCAGGCTGGGTCCACACAGCATCTCGGGTGTGCCTGGACCTGCCGGGGCTGAAAACCGTGCTGCCTCTGCTTAGAGCCCTTTCTCCTGGTGGAGACACGACTGGGATGCCAGGGACTTCAGGGAGAGGTCTGAAGATGGTGATAGACCACTATCTTCCGGCCCCTAGAGGAAGCTCCCAGCTGCCTGAGGAGAACAAAGAGGTGTAAGCCATTGTGTCCGGAGGAGCCCCCTCTCGGTAAGGCTTCTGCTCACAGGGAGCCCTGGGGCTGGGCAGGCTACCTGGACTACAGTCTCAGCAGCGTCATCCCCTTTCACATTGCATCCCCTGATAAGCCCTACACACTCCCTGGAACGTAGACACCATGTCATTTTCACAGGCAGGGAACCGAGGCTTGGAGACACTGTGAGGCCGCCACGATCACTCCAAGGGTGAGTGCTCCCGCTCCTCCCTGGCCTCCCTGTGATCCGAGGTTTGGCCTGAGAGAGTGTCGCATCCGGCAAAGGGAGCGGAGGAAATGTGGGGCCACAGGGGTTCCAGCAGGTGCAGGAAGGAATGACGGAACTGGGAGCCGAGAGAACTCTCCCTTCTACGGCCCCACACCCTGAGACCCGCAGTGCACAGCTTGATTTTGGTCCCCTAACGGAGGCCTGCCCAGCCTTTTAGGAAGCAGGAAGTGGCAAAGGGAGACACCCATCTCCTTCCAAAGCTGGAGAAATATACCCATTCCAGGGATGGCAAGACTAGGAGGTCAACACCCCTAGGGCAGGAGTAATTCCACGGTGAGAGTCTTCAAGTTTATGGCCAGCTCCTGAGCTCATGGTGAGGTACCACGCGGAAGAGGGGCCACCTTGAGGAGGAGGGTGGGGTGCTGAAAAGGACAGCCTCCTCCTTTCTCTTCATCTGCCAACAGCAGGACCCAGTAAGGGTTCTAGTTTCAGTCCCCTACCCTGGCCCCTTTCCTCAGTGTTCAATGACTCGGATTACAAAAGCTTATGGACTGGATGAGACATTCTGGCTCACAGCCCCTTTAGTCTACAATCACTTGGCCCATGGATTCGCCTACAGATCATGGTGATTGTATCCAGGGTATGTGTCTGACCAATGGGGGATCCATTCTTAGGTCGGCCAGTGATTTTTGTGAAGTATGGTTTAAAGAATCTTCTGTCTGGGCGCGGTGGCTCACGCCTGTAATCCCGGCACTTTGGGAGGCCGAGGTGGATGGATCACCTGAGGTCAGGAGTTCGAGACCAGCCTGGCCAACATGGTGAAACCCCGTTTCTACTAAAAAAAAA